AAGTATTCAACTTGCAGTAGCACACTTGTAAGTAATTAACTTGCAGTTGCACACTTGCAAGTGTTGAGCAGTTGCACACTTAGTTTGTCAGCGAATGCAAAAACTCGAAACCCTTCACCCACAAGTGTATAAAACAAAACCCTAGACTGCCTTACCGTAATTATCGTTGTGACAGATACAGGGAGATCTGTTGCAGGGTTTGTCCTTGTCAGAGACGACGACCACCTCGAGAGCAGGTATGACGGCGGGTGTGATCTCTTGGAGCGCTTCGGGTAACGCCCGGACCCGGAACAGGACGAGCAAGCGAAGGCGGGGAAGTCCGGCCAGCGCCTCACGCAGTGTGTTGGAGTTGTGGCGCCCCAGGACGAGACACTGTAGGCTCGGCAGGCCGCCCGCCCCCAGGGCAGGCGTCGGTATTTCAGTGCCCAGAAGCTCGAGGCGTTCCAGGGAGCTCGGGGCCCGCAGAAAGTGTTCCAGCTGGGAAGATTGGGGCGGTTAGATCATCAGGACAAGACGGTGAGAGACACGAGGGTGACAATAGGGTCGATACAAAACGTTAAACTACTCGACGTCGGTTAACAGACCGTCTATGGACAAGTGACGTCGTGTGGTATAAAGCGACACACCACATTTTACAAAAATGCAGGGCGCCCATATTTGCCCCGTTAGCATACTCGCCACACCCTATTGGTTGCAGTAGGTGGGCAGCCCGCCCGCACGCCACGCTCTCGAAGGTGAATGCGGGGCCCCGGGGGTCTGCTTTGTATTCTGACATTTTAATCAAATAGCCCACGGGGCATATGGAGTGAGAAATGGCACTTTGCCTTCTGGTAGAGACAGTCTTGGAGACTTTCTAAAAACTAAAGTTGTTTTAACCATTCGCCCCCTATCGCATTTTTCCATTCTGACCCCACACGAAATTTGTTGTTACTTTGTTTGTTGTTACCTCAATATAGGCCTCTCCAAGAAGTTCATCTGCCCACTTTATGTCTATCTTAAGCTCCTTTAAACCATGGATCCGTCGAAGTGCTGCGGCCTCGCTCGGTACTGTAAACCCTTGAAACTCCAGCCTGCGGAGGTCGCTGGGCAATGCGTCCGCCAGATGTACGAGAAGCTCTACATATTGCGACCTTATCCTCACACAGCTCAGCTGTTCACTGCAAAGGAGTCAGAGATTCAAACCAAACAGTAGCTGGATAGTAGCGTAGGAAGTGTACGGCGGCGGGGTGTGCTCACCTGGCCCACCGTCAGGGTCTACATACACACACATATATATATGCTAGGGTATCCGTAGATATACATAACAAATACAGGGTGGCCGCTCTGCCCCGTTGTTTTAAAAAGGTAGACTAGCCCGCCCGCACCTACCTCTCCAGTCCCCTCCCACCTCCCTGCTCCGTCTGTCAACGGTCTACCTTTTCAAAACAACGGGGCAGAGCGGCCACCCTGTACAAACACAACACCTCATTTCGGGTTGTGCTCAGGGCACAGGCACCCCGCACCCCACTTCCTTCGCCACTGGTCGTTTCCAAGGGTATTTCTCAATGGGCGATACCTGTGTGCTTGCAGGAGCGAACGGACGCCTTGGAAGCATTCCTCAGAAGAGGGCAAGTCGGAGGCTGCGCCGTCGCGGACGTCGCCTGCTCGTAGCGAGACGGTGCGCAAACGCGGCAGCACCAAGTCCTGCAGACATGGACGTAGGGTGTAACTGTGAATGCGCAGCAGTGTTGCGGGATTGCATACCCGCCGCCAGAGTTGCAGGGGCCATGGCGCCCTTATGGGCGAATTGGGTAGGCAAACCCGCAACACTGCTGCGCATTCACAGTTACACCGAGTACGTGCTGGTGGTAGAGACACGGTACCCCGCCCCCTACGGAAGCGAGCATTCTCACCTGCGGCCACAGCAGGGTTGGCTCTTCGTGCGGTTGTGCCGCACGAAAGGAAAGATGCTCCAGCTCGCTCCACCTTGCAACTTCCAATAAACGGAAAACAACGTCCTGACGCCTCATAAGAAAGTCAACACTTTTCGTCGTCTTGGCTACCTCCCGGATTAAAGCATCCTGTGACGTCACGCTAATCATGAACATGATCAGCAATCGAGACGAGCAGCTGGTGTGGATGCGGCTGTCACTGCCGAGACAGCCTACGATGTCCCTGCCCCTGGGACACAGAGAGACAAACGACGTTTCCTTCGAGGTCTCTGCAGTCTCTCTGATCCATACGGCCTCTGGAGGAGCGGCCACCCTCAGCAGGTCCCACACTCCCTCGACGTTCAGCTTGAGCAGCAGGCCCCGGTCCCGCCACGGCTGCGTCCTGGTGAGCGCGGCCAGGCGCAGGCAGGTGCGGCCCACCGCGAACAGGGCCTCGTCGGGCAGGTAGGAAAGCACCCGCAGCAGGGGCAGGTCGGGGAGGTCGGGCAGCAGCAGCGCCTGCGGTGAGAACAGACCCAGTGAACACGACAGTCACGAGAACGTCTTGCAGATGTCTTAAGCACGAAATTGGTCTCGGGAGAGTCAAAATTTAGGCTAAAAGTGCGTGACGTTTCCGTTGGGCACTCGCTCAGACGTCTGGTGGCTTAGAACGGACAGATGCACAGGACAGCATTTAAGGTGTGAACCAAGATCAAAACGGCAATGGAAAGGTCAAGAGTGCTCCGGGCGATTCTCCTTGACCGCGGAGTTCACATTGAGGTGCGCGTCGATGTATTACTCGAGCTGCTGCTAGGTCCTACCTGCTCGTGGTGATCCATTTCGGCGTTGGCTGCCTGTGAAGTTGACCCGGAGTCCTCCGAGTTCCTGGGTGCTTTGCAAGCCCGTGGTGGTTGAGATCGGGTCGGTGGAAGCGGCGGCATCTCTGCTCGGTTGCTCAGTACCGTCATCTGGGGCTACTTTGGCCCACTTTTGAACTTTGAGCCCCTGTGGACTCAAAACCAGGTGTCCCAGAGATTTGAGTTTTTGGCATGAGTCAGGTCTGTGGTTCGACTCGACAATGGGCCTAGCAGAATTTTTTTAAATGCATCTGGCTCTTTATAAAAAATTAAAAATGGGGTCGGCAAAGCCGCCCCCGTCGGAGGGGCCACTTTGGCCCATCTACTAATTTGTGGTCTTTTCTCCACATTACCAAGTAAATTCACCCAGATTCCATTTCTAGACTATCTCTAAAGCATTCGATGTCTATTAAGTCCCAAATTTGAAATAAGTTTATGCTCT